TCCACTTAGCCATCTGCTTGATATATCTGGACGATTTAATTGTTTTTTTTCACGGACTTATGATGAGCATCTGGTGCGATTAGGCAGGTTGTTTCAGAGACTCAGGGATAACGGTATGAAGCTTGCGCCCAAGAAGTGTCAGTTCTTTATGAACAGAGTTGCCTATGTCGGACATATCGTCACTCCGGAAGGTATTGAAGCGGATCCAAAAAAAATTGAAAAGGTGCGAGACTGGCCGACGCCGTCTAATGCTGAAGAATTACGCCAGTTTTTTAGGATTTGCCGATTGTTATAGGAAGTTCGTTAAGGATTTTTCAAAGATAGCTAAACCTTTGACTGACCTGTTACCCCCAACTAGAGCCAAGAAGGGAAAGCGGAAACCTGATGCGAATTGTGTTAAGTGGCTATGGACATCAGAACACGCCACGGCGTTCATCGGTCTGAAGGAAGCACTAAGTAACCCACCTGTGCCTGGTTGTGCTAACTACAGGCAGCCGTTTGAACTTCACATCGACGCAAGTACCCTAGGACTAGGAGCCGTATTATACCAGGAGCAGGATGGGAAAATGCGACCAATTTGCTATGCCAGTCGAGGATTGAGCAAGTCGGAGAAGAACTATCCGGCTCATAAATTAGAATTTTTGGCATTAAAATGGGCCATTACTAAGAAATTTCATAACCATCTATATAGACAGACATTCACTGTCTTGACAGACAACAATCCGTTGACCTACGTCTTGTCAAAGGCTAAACTCGACGCCACGGGACATAGATGGTTATCAACTCTGTCGGCTTACAATTTCAGCATTAAGTACCGACCAGGACGGAATAATGCTGACGCGGATGCTTTGTCGAGGCTTCCCGGATGTGATATTACGTCAGAGACTGTACAAACTGTCTGTAAAGCAGCAATCTCTTGTAACGGTTCCCTGGTAAAATGTTTGAGTCTGTCATCTGAGGTTCTGGATACACTGGACATGAGTGATGGAAACGGATTCCAAGCCATGACACCACATCAGTGGCGAACTCTTCAGGCGGAGGATGAGGTCATTGGAGAATGGTTACCCGTCATAAGGAGGAACTTGAAGCCTAACCACAGACAATCATCAGCTATTCCAGAAAACGCTACCCTTACCAGATGCTGGGATAGCTGTAAATTGAAGCGTGGGGTGTTGTACCGCCGTATATCGGATGGTGAGACTGAAGTAGATCAGTTGGTACTTCCGGTTAGCATGCGGGAGAAGGTGTTGACGTCATTACACAATGATATTGGCAATCCTGGCCGAGTAAGGACGTTATCTTTGTTGGGGGATGGATTCTTTTGGCCGGGAATGACAAAAGACGTCGAGATGTGGTTGAAGGAATGCAGAAGATGTCTGCTTAGGAAATCGTCGACTAACATAAGAACACCTTTAATTAACATTGTCACTACCCAACCAATGGATTTGGTATGTATGGATTTTCTTAAGCTGGAAACATCCAAGGCAGGAATCCAAGATGTTTTAGTGATCACCGACCATTTTACTCGGTATGCCAAAGCCATTCCTACTCGAAATCAGTCAGCTAAGGCGACAGCAGAGGCATTGCAAGGGTTCATAGAGCATTATGGAATTCCTCGAAGATTACATTCCGACCAAGGGGCTAACTTTGAAGGGAAAGTTATATCAAGTTTGTGTAACACATTGAAAATCGCTAAGTCGAGAACAACACCTTATCATCCTAGCGGAAATGAAATGTGTGAGCGTTTCAACAGAACCCTTATCGACATGTTAGGCACTCTGGAATCGCACCAGAAGAAAGACTGGAAGAGTTTTGTAGGTTCGCTAACATATGCGTACAACTGTACGAGCCATAAGACGACGAGGTATTCGCCATTCCAATTAATGTTTGGGCGACAGCCACGGTTACTCGTTGATCTGCTGTGCGGATTTACTGAAGAAACTCCTTCATCTAGTATGCCAGGTTTCGTCAAGAACATGAGGGATATGATGATTCACTCGTTCAAGTTAGCAAGTGGCAAGGCTCGGGAGTCACAGAAGCGCCAGAAGACGGACTACGATCTGCGCAGTAGAGAAGCAGTTCTGGAACTTGGTGACCGAGTTTTGGTTAAAGTCTTCGCTTTTGAAGGACGTCATAAGCTAGCTGATCGTTGAGAGCCTGGGGTGTATGTTGTGAAAAGTCAGCCCAACAGCGAGATACCCGTATATACCATACTTAGAGAGGACGGAGAGGGAAAAAGTAAAACCCTTCATCGAAATAATCTTCTTCCCGTTGGGACTATACCATTGGAAGTGGATACAGTAACTATATCACGGCCGCCCCGACCGGTGCAACGCGTCAGGAGGTCGAGGGTGGAATGTGGACCACGTCATCAGGAGTCTGTGACCGAGCCTTTTGAATCGCCACATGTAAGTGACAGCGATGACAGCTCAGAAGAGGAATTTGTGGGAATGGACGTCCCTACCGACGTTCATCGGCCATCCACATTGGATAAGGTGCAGTTGACTGGGGATATAGCACCTGAGCCTGGGCCTCAGACTGACTTCGATGATGTGGAGACGTCGGAATCTGAACCGGAAGATGAACCTGCAGCTGCAGAGCAGGGGAATGTTTCTTTGCCTATTCCGGTGATTCCAGCACCAAGGAGGTCAACGAGAGACAGACGACCGCCGAATTGGATGAAGTCAGGCGAGTTCGTATGTTCGCAGCAACCTGTTGGAGCAGATACGGAGTGGAGGGCGAAAGCTATGTTCTTGGTGAACGTAACCTCGTCAGCGTCCTTTGGAGCCATGCCAGTATCAGCTCAGCGGGCGCTGTTCAGTATTTTAATCGGTTAATTTTATGTGTTTTTTGTGTTGTTGCAACGTTGTTACATTGAAACTCCTCTCTTGATGTGATTGTTGTGTTACTGTGACCCTTTGGAAGATGTGGACATCTTTCATTTGAGCGGGAGAGTACTAAGTGAAATTGGGAAATTGATAACTGCAATTTTCTTTTCACGGTTTTAGATTTCATATTGAAAGTTGTATCTTATTTGATTGTAATTTGTTTAATATCTGCCCTAGTTACACAGATGAGGGCATCTTCCATCTAAGGAGGGGAGAATGTAGTAATGTTATTTTGACATATTATTTTAATATATGTGCTATATACATTTGTTATTGTTTTAATATTATCGTTAGGCGTTCGCGTGTCAGAACCGGAAGTCAGCCTTTCGTATTATTCGGTACGTGGCGCATTGCGACATGGATTTTAGCGCGCGCGCGAGCATGGCACATGAAAGTGAGAGTGGAGCGCGAGATGGGTGTGACGTTTGTATTTGTAAACCAGTTTAAGTATATTATTAGTATATTTACGGGGGATATTGGGTGATCTAGGAGCGCACTGGTCATTTTGGGCAGAGCGGCCGATGCGGCAACATCAATAAGTTACCTAGAATCATTATTGCTATTTGTGGGACACTAGCTGTAGGAGTAATGTAAGTACCCGATACTTAGTATGTTACTATAAGTATAATTTAATATAGTATCTATTTAATAATATATTTAATTTACGTAATAGTTTTGTTTCAAGTAAAAGTAAATGTTTTCGGAATCGAGTAAATTCAAATATTGGGTGTGGTCAATTTACATTTTGTAATACGCGTATAGGTCCATAGTTTTAAAGAAGAAGGCTTTGATGTTTATCGTACTTTCCTTATATATAGTGTAAACTTCGAGTCAGAATTGGAGCTCGGCGGACTTCGTCCGGAAAGAAAACCTTCTTCACATTGAAGAGGTGGGTATTTTATACGTGTGTATTAATGTCTAATATTATATATTCGTTAATATATAATTATTCAGCTGTAATTTCTGTATAATTTATAGGAATGTAGTTAATAGTGTAATTGTTAAATTAGTTTTTTTATACTGTAACTGGCTACGGTCAGGGTGACATTAATTGATTGTGTGATATTCTTAGTGTCTAATTCGTACTAATATATGTTGTATCTGTTGCAGGTTTTTTTATATTACTATCTGTGAAAATAAAAGCTTAAGCGAACCCTCGGAGTTGTGGTTTTGGTATGCGAAGAAGCACGACTACTACAATTGTTTATGCCAAGACTGTAGACACCCAACACAATAGACTTCCACACTGTCAAACTGTGCATTAAAGTCACAATAGGTACAGGCCAGGTGTGTAGGGCTAATCCCTTCATTAGAGGGGGTATTGTCACCTGTAGGTCCAGGGTTGAGTTCAATATCACTGGACAATAGCAACACTAGGACAAGTGCATACTGATCTGTTTTCACCTTGCTATTTGTTGATATCAAATAGATTAATTTCCTAAATCATCAGATTACAGTGAACGACTTGTAAAACGATAACGAGCCATATTGCGAGATATTTCAAAGCATGGATATTTGTACATATGAAAAGATTTCATCTTTTTTGTCTACTTTCAAATGAAAGTCAATGGTCACGGTACATAGTTACGGACAAGGTTGAAGTTGGTAACAGACAAACAGACAGTACAAAAACAATATGCCCTCGATCTATTCGATCCCGACCAACAAAGTTTATTATTTCGTTTCTTATGAAACCTCTTTATCCATAAGATTCTGAAGCTTGACGTGTTTAATTTTAGTTAAAGTACGGACTTTGATATACCAGTGGTGTAGCGATATCGTATACGCATAAGCTCGAAACAGCGATTATTGTTAACAAAAATTATTACTGCATGTCCTCATTTTTGTTGAATAGAACCAGTGACATATATAACACGTGATATATACGTCCCTGATGGAACGTGATGTAAATAGAAAAGATTTCTGATCAACTAAAATACGACAGCTTTAGGGGGGCTTCGTCCCACAGATCCCCCATCAAGCCCCTGGACCATCTCTTGAAACTCCTAAAAAACACTTGCTACGCCACTGTATAGATTTTTGGTTTATATCCGCAATTTATTCACCGCCATCCGTCCCATCAATTTACACTGCCAGTACACTTCCTGTCAGATTTTGATGAACTTGTCAGCATTTACCAGCATTAGAGAGGTAATGACATATATGTCAATCGTTTTACGTAACTAAATAGCATATGTTTTTACCTGTGTTTTGTAGACTGGACTGTCATTTTACAGGTTTGTAGAAAAAGAGACATCATACCAAGTGAAACAAAGTAGGCGTCTGCGTCCGGGTGTTCTGGCCTTCCCTTCCTATATCGCATTCTTCCGCGGATCACGTCACCAGAACACTACTGGTTGCGTAAAGATCGGTCAGAATTTTGGAACCTTTTTGCGATGATGGTTTGAGACATGTTTATTGTAATAATGAATATTTTGCTAAATTGTCAGAGTTGATAATTTTTTTTTTAAACTTAAATTTTTTTGTTGTTATATGCATGCACATTGGACTAAGTGTGTTCCTATCGAAGAGTGACGAAAAAATTATCCACGTTTATTTAGCATCGCATTGTTGTTTGTATGTTGGGTTGATCGCCCTGTGAACAACCAGGGTCATTATAAGACGATATATCCTTGTTGCAGCTGGTGGCTACCACAGCAATGAGGTAATATGTCTTGCCCAAGGACATCAACACATACTGGTAGTTTCCCGAGAAACACAAACGGGCAAGGGTAGTAAGAGCTGAACTACATACAATGAATGTACCTCATTATCAGATCTCATCACCTGAGGCATATGCTCTTACCGATTAAGCTATCACAGGTCCTAGACATTATTGTAAATTCATCCTATTTGTCTTTTATCTGACGAAACTAACAAGAGCAAGTGAAGTCTAAATCAACCATTCAGTTAAAATATTAAAAAGGATTATTTTTAGTGTTAAAACAAGGTTCTTTGGAATCCTGAAAGTGGATTCCAAAGAACTTTGGAAAAAAGATAACCACCCAAGTGTTCTATCCTATATATAAAATCAGGTCAGTATCAACAATAGTGTAGAGTTTGAAATTTGTAAAAAAATTTAAGGACAGTCTATGCTAAGATAAAATTTGCAGTTATATTAGTAAAATTCTGAAGAAAGAAATGAAGAAAATACACCAGTTGAGTACTAAAAAATATCTGCCTCAAATAGAAAAGTTTTGATAATGATTAAATTCTAATAGTGAAAGCTCTTCAACCAACTGTAATATGTACTGTAGATAAATATATTAAATGGATTTCAACTGAATGTAGACATTGATTGACAATGGAATGGAATGTAAATTTGTTTTATATTGTATTTAACCTTGCTTTTGTTTATTTCAGATGTTATGAATTGGTATAAGATAAGGGAATGAGGAAAAATATGAGTCCAGAAATAGTGCACTCTTATGCACATTTCATTCAATCAATAATTCAAACTGGAGATAACAAGTTAAAAGTTTTGAAGGAGAATTTGTCTTCTGAAGATCTGACAGGTGATTCATGCACCAAAGTTCTGCATCATCTGATAAATGAAAAAGCAGCATTGTATGTTGCTTGTGAGGAAGGCGATTTAGACATTATCAGGTATCTTGTATCTGAATGTGAAGTTAACATTGAACAAAGAGGAAGCTATACACATAAACATTTTCGTGATCATGTACCACCGCTGTGGAGCTGTACGGAACGTAATTCCATTGAGGTATTGCGCTTGTTAATCAGTCTTGGAGCAGATATTAACTGTACATCAAGCACAAACGGAACAGCTCTTCTTGTGGGCTGTCTTCACAACAGTGAGGAATGTGTAAATGAATTAATCAAGGCTGGAGCAGATGTCAATATTCCAAACATATATGGAGCCACACCACTATTAAATGCAGCTAGCAAAGGTTCTTTAGATTTGTGTGAATTTTTGATAAATAATGGTGCTGATGTTAGAGGCAGAGATTGTAATGGTAGAACAGCTCTGCATAGAGCAGTGGAGGAAAACAGACTGGATGTTGTGAAATTGCTGATAGAAAAAGGCTGTGATTACATGTTACAGAATGATACTGGAGAGAGTTCTTTCAGACTTGCTGCTCTGAAAGGAAATGACACCATTGTGGAATATATAGCTCAAAATGTTTCTCATGATGCAGTAGAGATTATCGAGATGTATGAACTTTTAGGAGCATTTCATGCTGAAAAAGATGATTATGTGAAGGCGACTATAACTTGGATGTCTGCATTAGGAATGAGAGATCTCAACGGTGAAAATCCAATACAAAAGAAAATCTGTGATACATTGGATAAATGTACGGCTCATAGAGAGGTATCTAGCAATGATGGAATCAAAAGACTTACAAGTAAGGAAGATTTTATGATGCAAAGTTTACTGGTGCGTGAACGTATACTGGGATCATCACATTCTGAAACCATCTGGTCTTTAGACTACTGTGGTGCAGTGTATGCTGACATGAACAACTACGGATGTTGTATACAACTCTGGAAGTGTGCTTACAGACGTCTAGTTGATAAGAGAAATCATTACAGTGAAGATTGTTCCTTCCGGATCCAAGCCATTATGAAAGTATTTGTGGACATTGGCCAAGAAAATACAAAGGTGAATGTAGTTTAGAGGATGAGATATTGTGATAATGAAATTATAGTATCATATAATTTTAAAAGGTATCTCAAACTGATTTTTTTTCTCGTTTGGCAATAACCCCATGACACATATTTACTAAGTCTACCAACAATTATTGCATTTTCAGTAAACATTCCTTACATTGTCATATACATATATACCTATAGAGAGCTCTTCATGGATTCCAGCATTTGATATATGAAACCAATAGTAGTGTAGGTCTAGATCAATTTAGCTGGCTTTGAGTGTGCTTGACATATAACAGGTGTATGTTAGCCTACAGCAGACCCCTAGTGCTTCAACATACTTTTAACGCAGTGCTAAACAATTATCATTATCTATTGAAATATTGTTTTAATGCTAACATTCATTTACAATGTTGAGAATATTAGAAAGGAAAGTGGGTGTCATGTTACATGTCATAAAAGTTTTGCCACCATGCTCAGATCCACTGCAAGTTATTTCAATGAATCATACACAAAATAAAAGCTTCTGCTAGAATAAAAAGCTGGACAGTCTTAACTACTGCAATCCCAGTTCTATTATGCTTTTTGATACAGGTACTTTATTTGAAATACGTGCAAATGTATGTATTAGACATGTACAACACTTTAGCCAGCCATGATCAGATGATGGACAATCTGATTTGTCATTCATCTGTGACCTGTTGTCCATCCTCAAACACTTCTTAAGCTTTTTTAGCAACATTTCTAGATACGTACTGGATGGATCATTCTGTAATTTCATATTTTATGTAGGTCCTTGGTTTTGTATTGTCTATTTTTTGGACAGATTAGAAAATTAGAATGGCCTAGAGGTGGTCACCTTGGATTTTGACAGTCATAGTTAATCATAGCTTTTTCTTGAGAAGCACAGAATGGATCTTTTTAAATTCATTTGGTTCGCTTTGTAGGTTGCCATTAGTCCCAATAACTAGTGATGTATTGTCCATTTTGAAACTGATCAGAAAAACAAAATGGTGACTGGTGGCCATCTTGGATTTTAACAGTTACCCAGTAATAGTTTGTTATTACTATTTCTTAAGATACTAGTCATAATTTGAAAAAAATTAAAAATACAAAAAGAAAAGTACTTGAGCACAAGACAACTTTGTCTATGTATATAGGTTTTCCTTTATACCTTATTGCCCAAGTTCAGTGTTCAGTGCAAGAAAGATGATAGAAGAGGAAAGAAGGGCAAAGATCAAACTAATAAAGTTGAAATAAAGATCATACCATGGTGGATGTAAAGATTATTAAATTTTTGTAACATCTAATATGAATAGTGATTAAAATTTCAACAACAAAACTTTTATGTTTCTTTTTAAACAACTCCACTTTTTCACACAAACACACATTTTAATCTGAAGCAAGAATAAATATGCACGTCCTTTCTTTACAGCTTTGACTCCTGAGGTTAATATGGGATAAATACAGTTTCAGACTGGACTCTTTGTAGCTGTTGTCCAGACTATCAGAATGTTTGTTTCTAATCACTCACAAAATTATATTTACTTTTACTTTAAATTTCTTGCAGTACAGTGACTTGTCACCACTCTGCATCAGAAAAGAATTAAAAACTAGAATATTCAGAACTTGGAACCGTTTACAATCTAATTTCGCTTTGAATTGTTTACTGGGGTCAGAGATGTTTTCAGAACTACATATATGTAATTCAATTCTTGGCAGAAGTTAAAAAAGAAACAAGGAACTGAAATTTATTGTAATTTATCTAAATTTCAAACATGCTTGGACTTGTAGTACAACAGAGGAAAAGTTACCTGCATGTATCATGAATTGAGGATAAGAAAATGAAAATATCAATATATGGATTTTTTTTTTTTTCAGTTTCCATCCGAGGATTTGCTAGATATCTTTGAAATACTTATATGCAGTATGCAGTGTGGCAGCAGAATCTTCAGAATACGACCGAGAGAAGAGCTGGCAGCAAAACAGATATCCATTCTAATGAAAATGGCTCTGCAACTTATGAATCTTCTTCTATCAAAAAATCTTTGTGATTCTGAAATGGAACGACTGACACATTTAGCAGAGTGTGCCATGAAAACAGGCATCATAGATGATGATGGCAAGACACTTTTACACTTGTCCATGGAAGAGAAAACTTCCACTACAAATGAATACACATATACCATGTTCCCATCGTTTCAAGTGTTGAAACTTCTGGTAGATGTTGGTGCCAATCCAAATATTATGGACAACTATCACAATACAGTCCTCCATTACTGTGCAAAACCAGAGAGTCACAAAGCAGCCAGGTATCTACTAGATAATAATGCACATGCAGATGCAAGAAACTGTGATGGGAAGAGTGCTATAGAGGAACTTCTATCTTCCGGATACCGTGTTTGTCTAATGGATTACTGCACACTTAAGTGTCTTGCTGCAACTGCCGTGACTCAGAACAAAATTACCTGTTGGGAATGTCTGCCCAAGACACTCCATGGCTTTATTCAAATTCATGGACTGGCTTAAATGCGGATGCTTTTTATTCAAAGAATGCCCTTCCAGAACACATATAATCCTCATATCCATATTGTGAAAGTCAGCTTGATTTTAAGAGTTTAGAATCAATCTATTATTTTGTAAACAGACTGAAGAAGTTGGACTGAAGCTACATGTATTTTGAGTAACATTTCTATATGTATTAACATTATTTTATGTGTTATATAGAGACTGCATTGTGATGAAGTCATTTCTGTATTTATTCAGTTTTTTTATTATATACTTTGTACTGTTATAACTGTACATTTTATAACACCTAGCAGAGCTGTGATTAACTGAAAATTCCAGTTTTTATTTCATGGTATGGAGATATGGAGTGAGAGTATCACTAAGGAACTGAAATTATGTGATAAATAGAATCTTGCATTTGTTTCCAGCATTGAATCTAAAACATTGTCATTCAATCTACATCACTGAGATAAAATTAAAAATTTGAAGACTGGTTTTGGAATTTTTTAATTAACTTGAAACTTGCAAGGTCCTCAAGATAAACTCTTGACATTTTCAATAAATTGATCAAGAATTTGTATACAGTACATGTTAAAATTTGAAGCAGCACTAAATATTCGGTGGATTTCACATTCTATTGAACCATGACATTATTTTCAGGAAAAAAATAGGGAATGCCAACATCTGAAACATAATATGAATGTTATTCCATCTTCACTCACTTTGTGATTATGGTAGTTTTCAAACAGATGGATGATGCCCTTCTTATTAAACCAAACACTGTGATATGTTTTTCAAGTATAAAGGTTAAATGTTGAATTTTATTTTTTATGCCACAATAAATATAACTACTAATAAAAGGTGCTGTTGTTTGCTTTATGAGATATTGGAAATACTTTTCTTTTATGGAGCTCTATATAAAAAACCAATTTATGGAAAATGACCAGAAGAGATTTTGACATCATAAATTGGAAAGAATGCTTGGAATGTTTTGTTCTTTTATGCAATGCAGAAAGTGGAAGATTCCAACTTACTTCTGAGAAATATAGCCATAACTGTCAGATTCCAAGATGGCTACCTTGCCGCCATTTTTGTTTATATTGGCCTAAAAAAGGATAATGTAAAAGTAGGAGGCAAAGGGAAACGGATAAATTGACAGCAAATCATTCTGGATTTCTCAAGAAATAATGATAATTGTTAAAATATCAACCGCCTGCTAGCCCTTTTTGTTTTTCCTGCACTGCTAGGGATCAAGGGTAACCGACATAAGAGATTTTAGAATATGATTCATTCAATATTTATAAAGTACATCGACAGCAAAGTATTCAGCACCATAAAAAATCAAGACAGTCGCCTGTCGGACATTTTGTTTTTCCTATCTGCCCAAAAATGAAAAAAAAACAATTTGAGATCATGGGCAACCTTTGTAGGAAATTTGAAACTAAGATCGATCCAGTAATGCGCAAGTAAAAGATAACAAAGTATTACTATCCGTGAGTATTCTGTGGCCATTTTGTTTTTCCAAACTGTCCAAAAATAAACCTTGCACAACAAGGGATCTAGACCTAGAGGATCCTACATATGAAGTTTGAGAATTACCCATTCAATACTTTTTTTCAGATAAGGCGATAACAAACTCAATCGTCGCTTGCATACTGTTTTATATATACATTCGGAATTCATCGACTTCAGACCGACATAAAAAGTCTTTAACACGTTAGAATAATTCGGTTTAGACTTGGAACAATGAAACACGCGCAGCTTGTAATTGATTTGACCATTTTTTTTTCAAAGAGTGTTTAGATAAAATGGAATCGATACGGACCACGGGGACTTGGCACAAATCATTCAATTGTAGTGGCTAATACGTATACAATTATGGACCCTGGGGTTGGAACTCGTGTCAAGTACCCGTGGTACGAGTTGCATAAGTATTTCAGCGAAGTGTTACTGCACTGGATTTATGCCAACATCGTCTTGACAAATAGACGAGAGGCCATGTGGATCGAACTTCAATCAAGTTATATTCTATGGCCAAAATGTAGAAGTTACGGATTTTTTTTATAAAAGGTAGTGGGGACAACACATGACGTAGATAGAAATACAGTCTGCTGTATATAAACGTATTTCACGAAGATAAAAATTGTTTCATTGCTTTTGTAAAATTAAAAGAAAAAGGTTTAGTGATAGGCCTACTATATATTTTCTGAAGTGAAAAGACGTACGTAGCCCCATTCTAATCTCTAAAAGGGACCAGCACACTTTACCAAAAGCATTGCACCTGGTACTGCACTTTTATATTAGTTCTTAAGTCTTTAAAACTCTACATGATTTTTACAATCCCTAGTCATTGTATATCGAGATAAAGTTACCATTTCACTTGCGTTAATTTTCAACCCACCTTACTATTTTCTCATCATTTGAAAGAGACGTCCAGTAATGAATCTCTGGGTCGACATAAGCATTGTTATGCTCATGTTTGCATGAAGTGTATGAGAACCTTCTAGAAATCATTTAGACTAGAAGGGGAGTTAATGAGGAGGTGTCTTTGGATAGTGAAACGAGTATAACGGAGGAAAAAGTGAGTACAGTCTTCTACAGAATGAACTCAGACAAAGAGGACTTCTAACTAGGTGGGACATAAATAAATCTGAACTAAGATAACTAGTAGAGTCTCTTAATTGACAGAATCATATTTACCTTTCTGTTTCCACAATGTTTTAAAATATCAGTGCACTAATGATGCACAACAGTAACTGTTTGTGATGAAAATACTTTTCTTTTTCATAGCACTTATAGATGTCATTTTTGGAAGCAGACAAGACAGGTTACTTCATTAAGCCTATGATTTTTGAGGGAAAAACATAAAAATATGCTGTATTGCAGGGTTCTTGATAAAGGTGCATAAAAATTCTATTGTGTAGAAGGGAGTTATGATCAGTATCATTATTGAGTCAATGTTGGATAAAATCTATTGTGTAGAAGGGAGTTATGATCAGTATCATTATTGAGTCAATGTTGGATAAAATCTATTGTGTAGAAGGGAGTTATGATCAGTATCATTATTGAGTCAATGTTGGATTAACTTAATTACATTCGGAGGACATCCATTGTTTATTTACTTTAAAAGGATATTTTGAAATGTCTTCGTTTTACTAGTGGACCCGTAGGCCAGACTCGTTATGTAAGATAGCGTGATTTGTGTCCTGCCTCGAACCAGTCTTGTGTAGTGCCTTTGTTTTGATTGACTCCAACATGTTCTATTCCCTTTCTGTACAGTTTTCCTATACTACACCAGCATTTTCTAAAACAAGACGAAAGGATGTAGTACAGTGTATATATAAACTCAGTTGACTTTCTGTCAGTTTGATATTTTAACATTCTGCATAATTTATTTGTTTGTTAAGACCAACAAGCAAATTCATGGAATTTAAATCCCCTGCTTTCCAAACATATTGTAAGTAAATATTTTAGAGGTTAGGAGTAAACATGTAATAATGCTATATAAAATGATATAGTTTAATGATAAACTGATAATATCTGTGGGACTTCAAGTTACATCTAAATCAGGGGCGTAGCTAGCCTAGCAGAAATGTGCAAGACCAGGCGAGGGGTCTGAATTTTATGATTTCAAAGATGTTTTGAATCGTTCTTTGAAACTTTTTTTTATATTTATTTAACAATAAACTTCAACTCCTGATATTTATTTTCAACCTTAGTTTTGTAATTTTGTCCGACATACTCTATGCATGGATTTCTTTATGTGAAAGAAATGAAAAGATACCTTATTAGTATGCATAGATGTTAACAGATGATGCTGACTGCTGAACGCAGTCTTTTGTGCCCTAATATGAATCTGCTGACCAAGTTTCATCTAAATCGGATTATATTTAGGGAAGTTAGAGCACGGGAATGAACTGACTAATGAAATCAAAGGATACCTCGTTAGTATGCATAATTATTAACAGATGACACTGCTAGTCAAACTCAGTCTTAATGACACAAAGATACATCTGCTGACCAAGTTTAACCCAAATTAGGTGATATTTGGGTAAGTTAGAACACGGAAACGAGAGTGTGATAGACAGACAGACGGACGGATGGACGAACCCAAATTTACATCCCCCGTTTCAGTGAAAGCGGGGGATAAATAGCAAGACTTAAAATTAAACCACGATGTTTATAGCTACTAGCATTTTGAATGGCTAAGTTGTTAAAATACAAGCCAGGATGCAACATCTTGGAATCAATCCGACTAGCAAAAGGTCATGATTAAGTCTTTTCTGTATTACAAATAATAAATCTACTAGGCCAATTACATGTTTTCTGGTGTCATCGTTTAGTATATCGGCCGCAACTTTTCTGTTTCCCTCAATTAGATCATAAAAAGATGAAACGTCAGCAAATAACTTCATATTTAGAGTGGAAATTATCAAGTATTGATAATATATAGTATAATAATAAAAAAGCTATGGGCCTAGAACTGAACCTTGATGTACCCATGCCTATAATATTTTCCCGTTGGATTCGTATATATCTATGACCACTCTCTACCTCCGATCAGATGGTTAAGGTGACAACCACTTTAACACGAGATAGGCAAGATGAAAGCCACATGTCATTACTGATGTCATATGTTTTCAATTTATAGACTAGACCACCATGCCAAAAACCTATCAAATGCATTACGTTGTTCAAATGCTTAACAAATCTATCATAGATAATCAAGAGTTGATTGACAGTGATTGTTTTGGTAGGAAATCTTATTGATTTCAGTAGATATATTATGATTTGTGAGATAGTTGAACATGCATTTAAAAACAATTAAAAAACAAATCTGGGGATTGTAATAAATATTGACTTATTGACAGGTCACTTTTCCATCCTTTTCCTTTATATACAGGTGTTACAAGGGCCTCATCTTTATCTATTTTTGATTAGAATTGCTGTAAGTGTTTCTTAGAAAGGAAATCCCCTCATATCTGTCACTATTTATATGGTACTGTTCCATTGTTTGAAATACGTATCGTGGACTTTAGTAAGAAAATGAGTGAAAAAAATAGGTTTAATGATAACGTTGGAATGGTGTGTATCGTAGAGAGCAGCATCTTAGTTTAAAGTACATCAGGTCAAAAGTGAGTCAATGCTGGACCGAGGTAAACAATCCCGTGAGTGATAGGTAGTGATGCACGTACGATAACGGGCGGGTGTGCACCCCAGTGTTGGAGCACCGTGGCAGAATATCGCCGGTATGATTGATCAAGACAGATAAATTCTCTCTCTTGTCTGTCTCGCGCTGTCGAACATATATGTATAAACAAGATAAGAAACAATGTAGAAGGTAGATCAAAGACGGGGAGTTAATAACAGGTACTCCTAGACGCACGTGGCTTTTTTATTATATGCACAATGGGCGTGATGGTAGGAAAGTTGTAAAACATAAGTATAGAGGATATAAGGTATTGCGAGAGAATCCGAGGGAAAGTTGAGCACGGGGGCAATGTACGGGTCCGAGGCAGAGAGCAGGGAAACATCTTGGGTGGTTAATGTACTATGGGTTTTCAAAATAAACAACGAACAACCAGTCATGCTTAGTGTCATCAAATACATTTGTGTGTGTTTACTACACGACGCTGTGCAACACATGTCTCTTAATCCTATCATTTATGTATAATGCATGTACCACTGTAATATAGATAATAAATAAGATTTAAACTTAAAAGATTGTGCAAAAGACACACCACTAGCACATCTCAATACACATTTAGAATTAGGCACAGTTAATATGTTGAGCTAAATTAGGAATACATTACTTACCTAGATATCCTAATGCTTTTCACTGCTTAAGTATGTGTAACTG